AAATGAAACATTGTCTAGTTCGAAATTTCTACATAGATAGCGCTCTTTGCTTCAGCTGCGTTTGTTAATGGCAGTTTTTCCAGCACTTATTAAGGTTACTTTAAGTTAAGTGGACCTTTGAATATGACAAGCGAATTTAAAAAATCACAAATGAAGTCACATTAAAAGCTACACTTAACTTAAAGTAACCTTCATAAGTGCTGGGAAAAAGGCCATAAGCGAAACTAAATGGAGACATTTTGAAAACACGAGTTTCTCTCTTTTTAGACGCAAATATGATATAATGTAGATGATTTGTGTCCGACTCCATGTCAATTCTATAAAATAATAACAAACTATATGTTTTTATCGGTTGTTAAGCTTTTAAACTCATAATAACGCGTTCTACTTACATTAATTTATATATTTTTATTTTGAGAACCTTGATATAAAAATAAAAATAAAAATCTATATTTTAAACAAAAATATTTTGTAGCAACAAGTAATAATATATAGAAATATAGAAGTAGATTATTACATTAAACGATGAATTTGCTTTTGCCAGACATTTTTTGAGAAAACCTAAAAACAAAAATGTTAAGACAAACAAATTATGGGGGAAGTCGACATTGTTGATGGTTGTTTTCATTTTGAAATCCACACACAGACATAGATTATTTTAGTTTGGTATTTTGTTTTTTCACATTTAGAAACAGTGGCTGCTGAAAACGGGAACATCTTGTACACAAATTGCAGAAAATGTTTTAAAACATTTCCTCTAAAAGTTTTGATTCGAAATATTTCAGGAAACGACTAGTGTCACCACATTGGAAACACATGTAATAAAGCCATACAAAATTTGTAGGTTTCGAAAATGTTTCCTATTTGTGGCATACCGTTTCCATTTTGTGTCAAGAAACAGAGGCACGATTATTAGAAACATTGCCTAAAATGTTTCCAAAAATGCTACTTGGGACCTTGGGAGGCTGTCGCACTGACGTAAAATATGTTCTGACGATTTTTCTTCCGATTGGCACAATTTTCACATGGCTTTGTCCATAAACTCCATCACCTTTAGATGGCTGTTAAGCTTACAATCGCCTCTTAGTAGAACAGCTACAGCTTTGACAGAATTCCTGCCTTTGCTTATCAGTTCTGTTGTAAATTTTGGCGAACGAACTACTAGAATCTTTTTCGTTTGTCTCTAACCGTCGCGGAGACCTCGATGACATATATTTTTGCTATACTACCACATTGCACTTGACAAGATACTGTGTTGTACTTGATATTGCACTTGAGAGATATTTTTTAGCTTCCCAGTATGCATTTGTTCTGAATTATCATCTTGTAAGATAAAATACAGCTACCGGGGTCCCGTAGACCACGCGTTAGCGCTTAAAGGTTAAATTTAGTGAAAAATCCGATTTAAGCCACGATTGGTAAATGTTGTTTAGATTCTCCCCAATACTTTGTTGTTTCTATTCCTTCTCTATGTTGACTTAGTTCTCTGAGGTGGAAAATAAAGCCGGTCGCTGCTCTAATAGAATTCGGTACGTAATCGAATTTTGACATGTATTAAATTTGGCGGCAAAATAGGACGACGTTTAACGCGATTAAACCGAAAAAGAATTTTGAGTCTAGGAGGTAGAGTAAAGCTGGAGGCGATTGACAGTTTCGGGGTTGGGGCCATCGTAATATAGTTAACTAATATTATGTAACATAATACAGATATACATACGCTGTATAAAATTACTACACAACCTAACTATTTATGTTCTAATAGATAAATAGCAAAAAATAAGGTATAAAATATTACAATAAATAAAAAAGTTTAATAAAACAAAGTATCTTGATGTATATTTTGATCAAAAGCTTACATTGAATAGTCGCATATCAAGAGATACACAGAACGCTGCCATGAAGATGGCAGCATGATTTTTCTGCCCTTGCCTATGGAGATAGGCAGAGGCAGACGGATGATCTTCCAAAAAAAATTATATATGGGTATTTCGCCACTGCAAGGAAATCTACAAAATAAAATAGTTATTTTTTTGTAAACACTGCTACCTTAATCCAACGGAGTCTACTTGTCGGTTTACTGATAAACAAATTTACCTAACGAATAAAAAAATACTTAATGTTTCGGAAAGTCTATCTCTTTCCGTCGTCGGAAGCAAAAAATACAAAGAATAAAGAAAAAAACTATTTAAAATGTTTAAAGGCAATTATTCGAGAACACTTTAGTTTTTTTTTAAACAGATACGTCTACAAAAACCGTTGACGTTCTGTTAAAATGACATTATATCAAGTTAAGCTTCAAAATTAACAATTACTACCTGATAACAATTACTTAATAAGGTAAAACCAAAAAGCTTTAAACTTTTCGTATGGTTATTTTTAATTTGTTTTTAGTTTTTACGTGTATTTATTTTGTTATGTTCTTTAAAATCAAAGAAACGATTGCCATACATTACTAACACCTACAGATGCATGAGCAAATCATTTATTTTTATTAGATTAATACAATCTCCTAAAAGCCTATTTTATTTTTCTTTTAGAGGCTATCGCTTCTTTTATTATAATTTTGGTGTTGTTAAAATCTATTCAGAAGGATGTTTATTCACAAGTGCTATAAGACCTATTACTTTTGAGTGGTCATATGCAGAACAAAGACATTGAAAATGGGGTCAATAATGTTGTTAAGTTTCACATAAAGGCTTGCTTGTCGGTATCTGACGAGATCCATAAAGCCGATCCATAAAGCCACTCCCACAAGTGTAATTTAAGTGCTATCTACCATCACCGCTCATTTTTTCATACAGGCGAAGCCAGATTTGCCTTGACAAGTTAATTCCTTAGGTTGCTGCCAAACACAATGCTGCAATCCAGAAGCTAATCGAAGAGCTAAAAGCAAACAAGGTATATTGGAAATACCGATTGATAAAACAGCTACAAAGTATAGATCTAATAACAAATAAAGTACAATTATTCCAGTCAGGCAAGACTGGATTAATGATGTACGCATTGAACTTATGGCAATCTGGTATACAGATGACTCAATAAAGTTACAAGGTGTAGGAGCGGGAATAGTAGGTCTGAAACATACAATAACTTTCCCCGTTAGTCTATTTAAGGATGTCTTAATTATCCAGGCGCAAACAGCGGCAATCCATTATTGTATAGAAAAAGTATAGCATGAAAGAAGATATACCTATAGCCAAGCAATCACAGTTAACCAAGCATCGCCAAAAAGCACTCTCTTCCACACATATCAATGCGGAATCAAGTGTGTGATACTAGTGCGTACTCTAAATACATTATTGTAAAGGCATTGGGTGAAAGTAGCAATGTTTCACTAGCCTGGGTACAGGGGCATAACGGTTAAAAAAGAGTGAAGGGGCAACAAATCTTTAGAAAGGTAGAGAAAATCACCAGAGCAGAGACAGGCGAAAAAGTTCACAGTCGAAGAGTCGCCAAAATTTGCGGCAGACTTGATAAGCATGCACAAAATGATTGTCAAAGCTGTAGTGAGTCCACTAAAAAGGTTTTGTAAGCTTAGACATCTAAAGCTGATGGAATTGACGGACAAAAATCACACACAAAATCAAAAAAAAGAAGCATATATTATGTTAGTGACAAAATAATTCTAAAACTACATCACAAAAACTTTTGTTTTGAGAGGAAAAATTCTGGAAACCAGAGACCGTATGCGGCACTGTCGGGGTGGTTGAGGCATCTTACTGACTAAAAAAACCTCCACAAGCCGCTTTGAATATCTGACCAACTACCTTTCGGCATTACTTTTCGAGGAGGCGGTTTTACTGTGATGTTTTAGTTACTTCGTCTAGTTTCTTTCTCTTTTATATCTGTTAGTGTCTCCATAAAAGTGTGAATACTATTCCAATGTTCTGGGGATCGAATCATCTTTGGATCTAAATGGGAAATCTTAATTTTATGGACTCTTAGTTTTTTGTATAGAACTCTTCGTTCAGCTGTCTATTGGTTACATTCCCAAAATGGTATGCTCCATTGTATCAGCATCGAAGTCGCCATAGAAACATATCGGGCTATCAATTAACTTTATTTTATGTAGGTAATATCTGAAACAACCGTGGCCAAAAAAAAATGACTCATGGCATGGCCCAGTTCTCAATATTCTCTATTTATCCAACACTCTAGGTCCTTTATAAGTGCTCTATTCCGTTTACCTTTCCCATTTCTGTTTTCACTTCATCTTTTACACCTTATTTCCAAAACTCTGTTTCTCCTTTGTTCCGCTGTTCTTCCTGAATGTCCTTGCCTTCCCATTCTTTCTTCAATTATTATGTCTATCGGGGCCATTGAGCTAAGAACTTGTGCAGCCTCTGTAGATATTGTCCGGTATCCACGACATATTCTTATAGCCAATCTTCGTTGTACTGCAAGAAGTTGCTCTCTATGTCTCCGAATTTTGCAGGTTTTCCCCCAAATTTCGGATTCATACAGAATATTGTAGATGCTTGTACAGCAGCCTGCACTCAGCGTTTCGTTTAACCCAAGGTAGACCCGTTTGGCATAATTCTGGATAAAATTGCGCCCTGTTTTCTGCGTTTTCATCACAAAAACTTGGAATTGTTAAGCGCCAATATATTTCATATTCGATATTTATATTTCGTAACAAACATACAAAAAATTAGGCGCACTTTATTTATATTAAAATACCTAGATCCTTTTAATGACAATAGTTTCTATGGCACATCGCAATAATTAAGTAAATAATAGATATGTTAATAACTAGAGTTTATTATTTAACCGGTGAACTTATAAATATGCCAATCATGTTTTAATATAATATGCTGAATTAAATTTATTGAATTTAGAGATAAATCGACAAAAATTTTATTATCGGTGTCAATGGAAATTCTATAATTTAAATATTTTATTTCAAATTCCGTTTCAAATTAATCAATTTTAATAAAATATATTTATTTAATTCCAATAATGAATGTTTTAAGCCTACTTAAAAAAAATATTGTTTTCAGGTTTACTTAAAGATGCATTGAAGAGCAAGTTTTCGTTTAGCTTATTTTTCTTTGAGGTATGTATTATTTATAATATTTATTTTTATAATATACTCTTCTTTTTCTTAGCCGGGACTAAAAATAAAAAAGCTATGAAGTAGTGAACATTGTAATGCTATAGATATGTAAGATGATAGGCATGTTCCGTTCATCGGTTATACGATTTGTTTGTGATTGGTGTCATTTTATATTTTCATTTCCATAACGATTTCGCTGTTTTACTTATAGTCTAAGAGCTCTCAACGTTTTCGAGATAATTTTAAGAAAGCTGATTCTATTATATATCTTTTGCTATGCTTTCCTGAATAGAATGCGGACCGTCTGGCTGCCAGTAGACGTTGCGTTCATTACTGCGCATCATATCTATATTCAACATCAGTTCACTACTGCGCATCACAAATTCACCCTGTATTTCAGGAACTAAGGAGGCTAGAACAAGCCTATGTGTAGCATATTTAGTTCCATAAAAAAGTAGCAAAGTAATGTGAAAATCCCATCATTGTACAGGGACATCATTTTAAGTGTCTCACTCGATTTATAATTTTCCTGTTTGGTATTTAAAGATAGTAGAAAGATTTTCTAATGTAATTTTTCGCGAGGATGACGATTCTCTACACCAAAATTTTTTAAAACGTCAATTTTGACAGATACGACACCATCTTGATTTTTTTTTAATGGAAACCCCCACATATTTTAGCATGGTCCGGTAGACATATTTTAGCTAATTTCAAATATATATAGTTTAGTATACTTTGCTCTTACCGTTTTCGATATACAGTGGATTTAAAAATGAATTGTTCCAGAATCATTTTAAGTGTCTCACACAATTTAAAATTTTCCTCTTTTCTATTTTAAAATAGTAAAAAGATATTTCAATGTAATTTTTCGCGAGGATGCCGAGTCTCTACATTAAAATTTTTTACAACGTCAATTTTGACAGATACGACGCCATCTTGATTTTTTTTAAATGGAAACCCCCACATATTTTAGCATGGTCCGGTAGATATATTTTAGATAATTTCAAAAATATATAGTATAGTATACTTTGCACTTACCGTTTTCGATATACAGTGGATTTAAAAATGAATTGTTCCAAAATCATTTTAAGTGTCTCACTCAATTTAAAATTTTCCTCTTTTCTATTTTAAGATAGTAAAAAGATATTTTAATGTAATTTTTCGCGAGGATGCCGATTTTCTACAATAAATTTTTTACAACGTCAATTTTGACAGATACGACGCCATCTTGATTTTTTTTTTAATGAAAACCCCCACATATTTTAGCATGGTCCGGTAGACATACTTTAGCTAATTTCAAAAATATATAGTTTAGTATACTTTGCACTTACCGTTTTCGATATATAGTGGATTTAAAAATGAATTGTTCCAGAATCATTTTAAGTGTCTCACCCAATTTAAAATTTTCTTCTTTTCTATTTTAAGATAGTAAAAATATATTTTAATGTAATTTTTCGCGAGGATGCCGATTTTCTACATTAAAAAATTTTTTACAACGTCAATTTTGACAGATACGACGCCATCTTGATTTTTTTTAAATGGAAACCCCCACTTGTTTTAGCATGGTCCGGTAGACATATTTTAGCTAATTTCAAAAATATATAGTTTAGTATACTTTGCACTTACCGTTTTCGATATACAGTGGATTTTAAAATGAATTGTTCCAGAATCATTTTAAGTGTCTCACCCAATTTAAAATTTTCCTCTTTTCTATTTTAAGATAGTAAAAAGATATTTTAATGTAATTTTTCGCGAGGATGCCGATTTTCTACATTAAAATTTTTTACAACGTCAATTTTGACAGATACGACGCCATCTTGATTTTTTTTAATGAAAACGCCCACATATTTTAGCATGGCCCGGTAGACATACTTTAGCTAATTTCAAAAATATATAGTTTAGTATACTTTGCACTTACCGTTTTCGATATACAGTGAATTTAAAAATGAATTGTTCCAGAATCATTTTAAGTGTCTCACCCAATTTAAAATTTTCCTCTTTTCTATTTTAAGATAGTAAAAATATATTTTAATGTAATTTTTCGTGAGGATGCCGATTTTCTACATTAAAATTTTTTACAATGTCAATTTTGACAGATACGACGCCATCTTGATTTTTTAAATAGAAACCCCACTTTGTTTTAGCATGGTCCGGTAGACATATTTTAGCTAATTTCAAAAATATATAGTTTAGTATACTTTGCACTTACCGTTTTCGATATACAGTGGATTTTAAAATGAATTGTTCCAGAATCATTTTAAGTGTCTCACCAATTTAAAATTTTTCCTCTTTCTATTTTAAGATAGTAAAAAGATATTTTAATGTAATTTTTCGCGAGGATGCCGATTTTCTACATTAAAATTTTTTACAACGTCAATTTTGACAGATACGACGCCATCTTGATTTTTTTTAAATAGAAACCCCCACTTGTTTTAGCATGGTCCGGTAGACATATTTTAGCTAATTTCAAAAATATATAGTTTAGTATACTTTGCACTTACCGTTTTCGATATACAGTGGATTTTAAAATGAATTGTTCCAGAATCATTTTAAGTGTCTCACCCAATTTAAAATTTTCCTCTTTTCTATTTTAAGATAGTAAAAAGATATTTTAATGTAATTTTTCGCGAGGATGCCGATTTTCTACATTAAAATTTTTTACAACGTCAATTTTGACAGATACGACGCCATCTTGATTTTTTTTAATGAAAACCCCCACATATTTTAGCATGGTCCGGTAGACATACTTTAGCTAATTTCAAAAATATATAGTTTAGTATACTTTGCACTTACCGTTTTCGATATACAGTGAATTTAAAAATGAATTGTTCTAGAATCATTTTAAGTGTCTCACCCAATTTAAAATTTGCCTCTTTTCTATTTTAAGATAGTAAAAATATATTTTAATGTAATTTTTCGTGAGGATGCCGATTTTCTACATTAAAAGTTTTTACAATGTCAATTTTGACAGATACGACGCCATCTTGATTTTTTTTAAATAGAAACCCCCACTTGTTTTAGCATGGTCCGGTAGACATATTTTAGCTAATTTCAAAAATATATAGTTTAGTATACTTTGCACTTACGGTTTTCGATATACAGTGGATTTAAATATGAATTGTTCCAGAATCATTATAAGTGTCTTACCCAATTTAAAATTTTCCTCTTCTCTATTTTAAGATAGTAAAAAGATTTTTCAATGTAATTTTTCGCGAGGATGCCGATTTTCTAGATTAAAATTTTTCACAACGTCAATTTTGACAGATACGACGCCATCTTGATTTTTTTTAAATGGAAACCCCCACTTATTTTAGCATGGTCCGGTAGACATATTTTAGCTAATTTCAAAAATATATAGTTTAGTATACTTTGCATTTACCGTTTTCTATATACAGGGGGTTGAAATCAAGAATTCCTCTAATTTGTATGTATTTGAATATGAATGCCATTCACTTACAACTGAGTGGTATTTGTATCCAGATGCATGAAATTTACGTAAATTGAGCTATCTTATGATAAATGACTAGCAGTTTAAAACTAAATTTTCATTTTTTTATATACAGGGTGGTCCGAACTGTATTCCGGAAACTACGGCAGCATACTCTGCAGATAAAAATAAGTAAAAAAGTTCGTATAAATATATGTCCTACAATACTTAGTTTCGGAGATACAGGGTGTAGAAATTTCATTTTTATTTCGATTTTTTCGAATTAATTTCTGAAGTAACGTCAATATTTGGCTGAAAATTCGTGTCTGGGAGTTTTTTGACATGAGAAACTTGATTCTGATGTCAATATGACTCTTATTTGTAGGGGGCGCCACCTACATGTGTTTTAACTGTTTTGAAAAGTAATAACTTTTCGCCCATACCTGTATAAAACTACTGAGTGAAAAAATAAATATTTTCTTGACTTTTTACGTAAAAAATGTCTCTAGGTAAAAATCACTACGAGCAACCTTTCTAAAGATATTTCGAATGGAAATAGTCAATACATGTCATTATTGACAAAAAAATAAACACGTTGAGTAGATAGATATTTGGCTGAAATAATAAATGTGGGAAATTTTAATTTTTTTAAATTAATTATAATTTTTCCTGCGGAAAAATGATGATAAAACAGTTTCTGTTGAACTTTTGGCAAAAAAAACATTTCAAATTTATGATTTCAGTCTAGGATCTCCACATGTTTAATATATGTCAATGATGACAGGTATTGATAATTTCGATTCCCAATATCTCGAGAACCATTACTCGTAACAATTTTTACCAACAGACCTTTTTTACGTAAAAATCGTTATAAATGAATATTTTTTCACTCAGTAGTTTTATAGTACGTATACTCAGTAGTACGGACGAAAAGTTATTATTCTTCAAAACAGTTAAAACACGTGTATGTGGCGCCCCCTAGAAATTGGATTTATATTGACATCAAAATCAAATTTCTCATATCAAAAATCTCCCAGAAACCAATTTTCATCAAAGTATTAACGTTACTTCACAAATTATTTGGAAAAAATCGAAATAAAAATGATACTTCTACACCCTGTATCTCCGAAATTAAGCATGTTAGGACATTTATACGAACTTTTTTACTTATTTTTATCTGCAAAATATGCTGCCAAGGTTTCCGGAATCACCCCGTATGGAAAGGTATATATTGAATAAGAATCAAAGTATAAATCAATAAAAAAATTTAAGCGCCGTAATTGTCAAATTTGACATTTTCAAGAATTTTAAAATTCGAAAATTGTAAACTGGATGAGTCACTTAAAATAATTCTAAAGATTTCATTTTTAAATGCACTGTATATCGAAAACGGTAAGTGCAAAGTATACTAAACTATATATTTTTGAAATTAGCTAAAATATGTCTACCGGACCAAGTTAAAATATGATGGGGTTTCCATTTAAAAAAAAATCAAGATGGCGTCGTATCTGTCAAAATTGACGTTTTAAAAAATTTTAATGTAAAAATCGGCATCCTCGCGAAAAAATACATT